TCCTGCTGATGGCATTAACAGTCATGGGTAAAATTTAACTATTAGGCTGTTATTGATTCACCCCCTATTTGTCTTTCCTCCACACAAGACTTTTGTGTACAGATTGTTCGTGGGATAAAAAGAGCCCATGTACAAGTCTGTAACGAGACCCACACATGTTGCGTTAACATTATTTTTATAACATTCTACTTTAAAAATAAATCCTTTTCTGGGACCAGCAGTTGGTGTAATGGCTATGTTGCTGGACACCCATGTAGTTGACTGCGGTTCGAGTCCTAGATCCGGTGGCTTAAACTCACGCCAAGTGCACGGGCGTGCCATGCCCAAGATCCTGAGAGGAGAAGGAATTGCAGTGTGGCCAACCCCCTGTTGGATGATTTCTTGCTTTCTGTCTCTCTGTCTTTCCGGTGAGTGCATGTGCCCTATGGCAAAACTTTGCCAAAATAAATAAATAAATAAATTATTTTCTAATACTACCATATTTCCACTTCATGCCCAACATTGTCGTCCCAATTTAGATTTAATTCCAAAATATTGTTACCCTCCCTAGATTTCATGTTATTACAATTCAGCAGTCAAAGTTACCTCTCAAACACCAAACTTTATGACTGGTCTTATTCCAAACAACCAATTACAGAAAAAATTGTTTCTAGTATTTTAACAACCTCTAATAACCATTAACAACAAACAAATACTGTTTTCATATATAAATGTTTCTCAATAGCCCTGCTAGAGTAGTTTACGGAAGCGCGTTTCTGCATGTGTCTAAAGGCCATATGTTTTCATCACAAGTTTTCAGACCGGCTGCTCTCCACAGTGGCCATGTCGCAATTCCCTCTCCTTCATTCATCACTCCTGTTGGGATCCTGGGCACCCACACACGTTCCCAGCATGTTCTTTTTTTTTTTTTTTAAAGAATTATTTAATATTTTTCATTTATGTTTTTAATTTGACCAGAGAGAGAGAGAAGGAAAGTGAGAAAGCAAGCCACCAGGTCCATGACTCAAACCGTGGTCAGCCATGTGGGAGTGTCCAGTGCTTTAACTACCATGCCACCTGCTGGTCACCCCCTCCCCTCTCTGCCCCAGCATGTGCTTTAAGCCATCAGATCTGGGACTTAAACTGTGCAGTTGACCATGTGAGATCCAGCCACCTTAACTACCATGACACCAGCTGGTCTTTTTTATTCGATTGCTGGAGGCCTCATGTATTGGCCAGATAGAGGGAGAAAACATCCCCAATGGAGAATAGTCAAACTAGGATCCTTCTCCTCCATTTCTCCATCCTGTCAGAGTTTTGGGCACCCACGCACACAGGGATTTGAGTGCGAGTTTTTGGTTCAATTTGTGAAGATGTCTCCTTGAGCAATTATTTCAGGTAGATGTGAGCTGGAAGTAACCATAAGTTTATACATTAATCTCTTTGAGGCCAGTTTTTGCCAAACTTCATCTTTTTTTTTTTTGGTAAGAGAGATTTTTTTTTTTGCTATAGGGTACGTGTGTTAACCAGAGAGACAGAGACAGAGACAGAAAGTGAGAAATCACCCCCAGGAGATGACCACACCGCAATCCTTTCTCCTCCATTCTCCTCTTAGGATCTTGGGCATTCATGTTCCTGTGCCCGGTGTGAGTTTTAGGCTGCCAGGTCTGGGACTCAAATCATGGTCCACTACATGGGAGTCCAGCGACGTAACCATTACACCATCTACTGGTTCCAAACTTTATCTTTTGAAAATATTTTTTTAGGGGCTGGCAGGTGATGTGGTGCTTAAGGCAGCTGGACTCCCACATGGCTAACTGTGATATGAGTCCTGGACCTGGCAGCCTGCTTTCTTACTTTCCTTCTTTCTCTCTGGTCAACTTAAAACAAGAAAAAGAAAAAGACAATGAATAAAATTAAATATTTTTTTAAAAAAACATGTATTTATTTAATTCCATTTGTTATTATTATTATTTTTTAATTTGATCAGAGAGAGAAAGGGAAAGTAAGAAAGCAAGCTACCAGGTCCAGGACTTGTACCGTGATTGGCCATGTGGGAATCCAGCACTCTAAACCCCCACGCCACCTGCTGGTTCCCTAAATAAAATAATTCTTAAAAAGTTTTTTTTTTAGTTTGCTATAGGGCTTGTGTGCTCACTGGAGACACAGAGAAAGTGAGAAAGCACCTCCCTGGCAGAAAGCTGGGGAGTGGTAGCGGGGTGGCTATGCTGCAATCT